GTGATCCTTTTTCCAACTCAGTGATTCTGTATTTTAATTTTTTTTTAAATACAGTAAATACAGCTGGATAAAACAAAAACTGTGTCTGTCTTCATTTCAGGCTTTAAAGCAACAAAATGTGATTATTTTAAAGGGGGGTGATTCTTTTCTATACCCACTGTATGGGTATAGAAATGTATGTATGTATGTATGATGTATTTTCTAGTATTGTAGATGATCACTCACCAGGTTACCATTGAAGACGTTCATCTTGTAGGTGAGGTTCTTAAAATTGGGGAACTTGGTTGGATCTTCAGGGAGGGGAGTGTTGTCTTTGTACCACCTATAGGTGGATGGAGGGGAGCCATCTGCATCAAAGCAGGTCAGGCGGACATTATTTCCTGTTGTGACTGATGAAGGAATTCTGGATACGGGCTTGGAAGGAGGCACTGTAGTGGAGGAAATTACAGCGGGAATAACAAGGCTGTTTTGTGTATTACATTGTTTCATCAAAGCAAAATCTTTGCAAAATGACTTATATACGTTTTTTTTACTACTCAAATTTACCAAGGACCGTAAGCTTGATGGTCTTCTCATCATATCCACCATTGCCAGAAACCTCACAGTCATAGTCTCCACTGTCTGCTCGTGTCACCTTGTTAAATCTCAGTCCTCCATCATACATAGTGATACGGCCTTCATATTCAGCTACAGAAAGAAATAAGATGCATAATGCTGTATCTTTTCTTTATGTTCATTTCAATTACAGGTTACAGTGATGACACTGGATGACAACAGTTTTTATCCATACCAGTTATCATTCCAGCAAAGTAGATAAAAAACTGATAGCCCTTGAGATCCTTAAACTTCCATTCTATTCTGGGTGTTGCACCAAAGTCAGCGGTGTAGGAACATTTCAAATCAACTCCTGAAAAAAATGTAATACTTTGTGCATAAATGTTTTTCACATCAAAAACGGAGTCCTTGAATCACCCAAAACAGCTATTACTATTCTCGAGTGCAAAACCTATACAGACATATCAAATTTTCTAATTTTTTTTAATTTAGCTGATTACTGCCACACAGAAACAATTAGGCTGTAATTGAAAGGCAAGTATAAACAGAAAAAAGAAAATAAAACTTACCCTTATTCTCTTTCACTTTTACTGAGGGACTACCAACAACAACCGTAAAATCGGCATGCAGGCCTGTATACAGAAAGAGAGGGATTCAAACCTTAATCAGTATGAAAGAAATCTTTGAAATACATTACATGCATTACAAATCACATTAACAGTCATATCCAGACTGGAATGATGTTTAGACTTTATCTTCATCTAGGCCAACCACTTATTTTTCTATTTAATAGAAACATCACGAAAAGAAGAATCTAGCAAAAGCAACATGTTGGAATCCTGTTAAACAGACTCAGAAAAAATATATAATTCCTGAAACAATGCAAATTAATATTTCAACATTAAAGGGGTCCTATTATACTTTTTCACTTTTTGAATTTTAGTCAGTGTGTAGTGTGTATGTTTGGGCATAAAAAATATCTTCAAACTTACAAATCTCAAAGTCCACTCCAAAGGGAGATATTTCGTTTAAAAAAAAATCCCCTTTCAAGAACTACAACGAACGGCTCGTTTGGACTACAGCGTTTGTTTTCCAGGTTTTGTGAAATCACAAAGCGGTCCATTAGAATATCATTAAAATAATTCATTATTAATTTTAATTCATCATTAAAATATTTATAAAAATAATAAAATAATAATAAAAGCTTGGTTGAGTGCATCAGACAAGACGACGAAGAACAAGTGCTGCTGTAGCCTCAAGTTTTCACAAGTTATTACACATGCACCTGAATAATTATGTATGTAAATATGTATGTTACAATTATGAAAACGTTTTTATAATAAATTGCTGACAGTACAATACTGGACAATGATGTAATCTGCAGAATTTACACTTCAATTATGAGACTACAGTGTTTCCCATACATTGAGTGCGGGTGTTTTTATATCACTGTATTTCTGAAGGAAACCAACTGTCTTCAGAAAATTGGATGTCATTTTCATTTAATCTTGCATGTAATGTCTGATAAAGCAGTGTTTTTTGAGCGGAGTGCTGCTTTGTGTACAGCCGTTACCGAGGAAACCTTGATCTCTACAACTCCAACATGAGAATGAGTTTGCATATATATGCCGCCTGGGAAACACTGGACTATGGTATAAATAAATTCAACTGTATAACAGTTTCACTGCAATTCATGTTATAATGTTAGAATTAAATAACAATAAAAATAATACATATTCACTTATCTGTACATAGTAAATGCAGTTATTTTTAAGCGGTTGTTGACATCCTATCTAAAACGTGATTTTGCCAAAAAACAACAACAACAACAATAACGTTACCTCTCTGATATGTCTTGGCAAGGGGCGGGGCAGTACTGAAACACCGTCTAAGCTGTTCGCCAATCACAACGCACTAGCTAACCAATCACATCACATTTCGTTTTTCGGAACTAATCGAGCCGTTTGTGCCAGGATGGGGAGAAAGGTATTGTAAAAATGTAAATTATGTAAAAAAAAAAAATGCGTTTTTCGAACCTCTAAGCATGAGAGCATGTTAGTACACCGCCAAAAAAAATTCAAGACATTGTAAAAGAGCATAATAGGACTCCTGTAAAGGAAACATATTACTCTTCAATAGTATTAAATGTTTTAAATGTACGAATTTATTCTGAATACTCAATGCACACCCTTGCCAGGCGTTCATAATGACCGTTTATAAAACACTTCAAAATAATGACTGGTTATTGAACAGTGCACAGTGACGATATTATGTTTTCTTTTACTGTAGGATTATAGCACCAAAATAAACTCCATTTAAAACAAATTCTACTATACATATTAGTAAATTATTATTAATTCAGTAAAAAAGAGAAAAAACACTGATGAAAACCATATCAACAATATCAAAGTTTAGGCTGAATAACACAGCAGACAGAAGACAGCAGTCAATGATACGACGTCGTAAAAAAATATTGTGCAAGCAAACACTGAAAACATGTACTACCTGTAACTGAGATAGAGAGGCACACAAAGACGAAGGTCAACATATCCACTCTAAAATGATATAAAGCCTTCCAGAATATTTATCTTATTAAAATGATAACTGGTTTTATATTATTTTAGCAGAACATTATTGCAGTTGTTTATTTGTTAGGTCCCTTCAAAACGTTGTCTTTGGCAAGATAAACTGAAAGGCTAATAGGTTACGGTGTTACCTGTACCGCGTGTGTGATTGGTTGGAAACGCGACACCATGACGTTCCCGCTGCATGACGCAATGAAAGTAAACAGATTCAAGGCTTGACAAATAATTGGAAATCATTCTCCGAATGAACCCTGTTTAGGAGTCCAGACTGGTCTACATGGGTCTTTGTACACTGTACATACTTAGTAAGTTACCCACATGATAAGATGTACAGGAACAAACATGTCAGGGAGAGTAAGAGCAAACAAGTTACAGATTAAGTCTTGACACTTTGCTGAAACAAGAAATTGACATTGAAATATTGCTTGTCATGAGAAAGTTGTGGACCCAGACACCCATTTGTGTAAAATGTGATTTGAACATGTGGTTAGACTTATTCAAATCACATGTGAAAGTTGACTAGTTTATAAAAGCAAAAAATATTTAACTTGTATGCTATTTTTGATATGATCTTTTTAATATCCTCCTTCAGCACTACCATTATTAACAGGTACTGCAAATAAAAGCTTAACATTTTTAATGATTCGCTGTTGAGCATAAAAACATGATACCAGCAGCACACTTCTCCCTGACTCACCACAGTATGTAAATGTGGTTTAGCATTTCTGGTAGGGGTGGGCAGAGGAGGAATCGGCTGTGTGGAGACTGGTTCTGTTTCATTCCTCCTGACCGCCAGAGGAGGAGCTAAGCACTAGTGAATAATCGCAGTGTCAACTAGGTTGAGAAAATACAAAAACATGTCGGTGCCCAGCCTCTTTTCGCTTCTCGCTTATGATAGGTTGTTTATTTATTACATAAGTACATATTATATTTGATTGTTTGTGTCAGCGATACCCTGTGCTTCACAGTACTATCCGGTGACTGGTCTCGGCTACACATAGGTAGCGTTTCCACTGCAAACCGAATATAATTTTTGAGTGCTTTTCGTTGCATATCACTGTTGTGCTTGTTAACGTATGCCACTTGGTAATATCCAATGGTAAGTTTGGTAAATTTACGTGTGATTCTGAGTCTGTTTTCAAGATTATAACCTTCTGGTTCTATCCGAGGATTTTTTCGTCAACCTCCAGGGCTGGAATTAATACAGTTTTAGTTCATGGCTCATGGTTTGCTTATCTCCGACTATCCACAGTTGCAAATTATCTCTGAACACACTCCTTCCCGATGATGGACACGATTGCTGCCTTTCGTGCTTAGGGATTCAGCATCTAAAAGAGATTTTGACTGATCCGTGTTTGCATTTTGAGAATGTTATCGATGTCTGAGAGACAGCTTAGCCTTGCCGAACTGGATCCTAATTCAACTGCTAGACTTGCACAATATGACTCAGCCCCACGGCGTGTTCAAAACTGCCGCGCATCAGTGGCTGCTGGTGCTCTGCCAGCAAAGAAAAAAAATCGGAATCAGAGCATTTGCTATCGAAGACCATCGCTACTCTGTCTTAGGAAATGGCAGAGCTGAAACGTCTTCTTCAATCTCTACAACCTCCAGTACCAGCCACGCCTGCAGACAACACACTAGGAGATGAAAGTGTTCTTCAACATCCAGATCTGGATGCCATTTGATTGAGTGCATCTAATTCACATTTCCATCATGGAGACATGACCGAACCTGACATGCAACCCCATCAACAGGATTTCTTTACCAGCCTGTCTGCTGCAGGTGGATCAAGTGAAGCGGTTGGTCTGTACATTCATCGGGCATATGCCCATCTTCTTCAGATGATACTTTATCTGTTTTACAGATAGCAGTGGCATGTTTAGGGTTCGACAAACCGCTTGTTCAGCCTGTTCAGACCAACAGGCAAACCTCTGATGCTAATGTATTTTTCAGGCAAACTTCTGATGTTAATGCGTTTACTATGCCACCATGTAAGGACTTTGTGGCAGAATTCTCTAGTGCACTTCCAATAAAGGAGGTCAAAGACAAGCCCGTACGCTAGCTTCAATGGCCGAGGCTGATTCCATTGGAGTAGGGCGGGCACCTGAGATCGAACAGCCAGTAGCAGCATTGGTGGTATCACCTGATGAAGCACTAAGAGGTAATGTATGCTGCCCAAGTGCACAATGTGGACATACTGACGCATTGTTGAAGAAGGCATATGAGTCAGTAGCCCATATAACTTGAGCAGAAAATGCTATCTGCCAGCTGCTGCTTGCTTGCAACACCACCTTAGAATCATTGAATGCAGACCTTCAGTACCTTAGTTCCTTCAGACTGCTCTGTTGGCTATGGGACATATGACTCGTGAGCTTGGGACGCTCTCAGCGACACTTCTAATATCTCTGCGCCAGGTATGGCTAGCTAAGGCAAGATTGCCTGAAGATTGTAAGAAGATGCTGAGGGAACTGCCAATTATGCCAGGACATCTTTTTGGCCCCAATGTATCTAAGGTATTAGAGAAGAGAATGAAGTTGTCTGAAGCCACACGACAGCTGACTCAGGCCTCACAGGCACCCTCTTTTAGGATGGTTTCTTCAGCTTGTGTCCGGGCATTGAAACCCTGGAAACGGTTGACATTTGGGCCGGAGTACCACTAAGAGTTGTGTGTTCTCTTTGGGAAGTGATAAAAACCTATGCTTCAACAGGATGGGGGGCAACAATCAATCAAAGCACAATCAATGTGCTGGTCAGTTCCGACAACATATCGACAGTGTTTCACTTGAATCACCAGGGCGGGACCAGGTCTCTTGCATCCTTACGGTTAACTCGTAAAATCCTCAGGTGGTCTCAGTATCAGCTGGCCTCATTAAGAGCAGTTCATCTCCCAGGATCAGAAAATTAAGTGGCGGATGCGTTGTCCAGGGATCTACTGTCCGGGGTGGAATGAAGACTTCACCCGGAGGTAGTACAGCTGATTTGGCAAGGCAGAGGTCAACCTGTTTGCCTCAGAGCTGACTACTCATTGCCGCTGGTGGTTTGTGAGGACAGAAACATCCAGCCCATTGGGTCATGATGTGTTAGCCCAAGAATGGCCAAGTTGCCTGCTGTACACGTTCCCACCTTTTCCACTGTTGTGGGAGACATTACACAGAGTATTCCTGTTTAAGCAGTGCTTCTGGTGGTGCCTCAATGTCCGGCCAGACCATGGCTTTGGATTTGGCCACTGGGTCCAGTTCACTGTTAGAGGACTGTGAGCCAGTGGTAATTCATACTATTGGTATTTCTAGAGATCCTTCAACTCGACAAATTTATGCTGCTCTTTGGAGGATATTTTATTCCTGGTGTGGGGATCAAGGAGTTGATCCAGTTCACTGTTTTGTGCCGCAAGAGATAAAAACAAACAAACAACAATTGTTAGATAAAAACAAAGCGGCATCTACTTTAAAAATTTGTGTTGCTGCCATATCTGCTCATCATGCCCCAGTTGATGGTTCTTCCTTGGGGTCTGGAATTGAGCAGTGTAAGAATTGAAAGAATGCTACAACAGAAACTAAACCCTAGCCCAACCCCTAACCAATTAGAAAGACATTTATCAATGCCTTTCGGCCCGCCTTAATCTTTCACCACACCCACTGCTCCAGCCGGCAGTTATCCCTACTTGGAGGATTCAGGGGTCATTCTTCAACCTAATCCTGCTTTTCTTTCTAAAGTTTTGTTACCGCAATTTGTGAATCAGTCTATTCATCTTGCTGCTTTTTACAGGTGCATCTCAATAAATTAGAATGTCGTGGAAAAGTTCATTTATTTCAGTAATTCAACTCAAATTGTGAAACTCGTGTATTAAATAAATTCAATGCACACAGTTGGTTGTGCATCTTTTTCTTGTGCATCTTTTTCTTCCACTCAACTTTCTGTTAACATGCTTGGATGTTCGGCGTGGCATGGAGGTGATCAGTTTGTTGCACTGCTGAGGTGGTATTCACTCTGTGAACAGCCAGCTTCTTTGGCAATGAATGTTTGTGGCTTACCCTCCTTGTGAAGGGTGTCAATGATTAGGCTTGTTTGAGATGCGCCTCGCCTCGCCTGAAATGTTGGTGAGAGTAGGCGGCTGCAGTGAGGGGAGGAGTGAAATAAGCGCAGTCAAGA